CAGTCGTTTTGTATTCATGCTGAAATGCTGCCTTTGGCGACATGAATGACATGGTTTTCACTTTACCTAAAGATATTAACATTTCGCAATGTATATTTTTCAATGTGTGATATCTTTATTACATTATATATAATGTATTATCATAATCAATCATTGTACAGCTGTTTCTAACATTGTTGATTTGATAATTAATTGTGAGGTTATTTTATTCATAATTGAGTATAATACTGAATTCTATTGGACTAATACACAGCTGTCAAAACCCTCTTTGACGAATTGCTTGCTGTGTCTGATATAGGTTTTGCAGCTATGTATGAGTTCATTAGAATCAATGCTAATTTAATCATGTTTATATGTCCATTATGCCCCAGCAATGCTATCATTTTAATCTCTCTAAAAAAATGAAATTATTGTTATCTGGTTACACCTTTAAATAACAAACTTTTTGCCTCTCTGTATTGTTGACGATTGGCATAATTATAGTGAATTAGTATTTGTACGGAAGTAAAATACTACTTTGTTTACATTTTTCTACCTTTATTACCTTACATGTACATTTAGTGATTGTTTTCTAAGCTGTTAAACATCCAACATGCTCTAAATTCATTCGTATAACATTATTAAAGTCATGTTTGACTTTCTTAAAAAAGTTATTAGAAATCAATTCCTGTGTATGTGTTAGGGCTTGTTCATCCTCGCCATCGGAAAGAAACCATACGAGCGAACACTTAATTTATAACATGGATAACATACGGGATCAAATGTTGTTTTACTTGTTGTTATATTGGTACTTGTGTTATGTATATACAATATCTCCCATAACAAGGTCGTCTCTACTTGCGATCAATGTTCTTGATGGGAATGATGGGCTTATCCCATTTTAAGATTTATGTTCTAAAAATTACTGTTAAAATATTTGTTATTAAAGGGCAAGGAGTTAATAAGGTGCACACCGCCTTTATTAACAGACCTTTTAATTGAAATATTGATTCAATATTTGCATGTAAAAGTACAGAGTTCGCATACTTACATGCGATAAAGGCATGCCAGGAACGTATTTTCCAATTAAAACTGAAATTACTTGTTCTCTCGTATGGAGAAGAGTATGTCCAATTTTCCATTAGATAATAACTAATAACTTTCGAACATTAACATTTAATTGACCAATGGATTCCATTTTGTCATGACGCCCCACATCTTATTGCGATTGTTAGATTGTCTTTTTCCAATTGCAACGCATCGAGCCGAAGTTAATGGACCAATAGCATCGTGTAGAGCGTATTCATGGTGGTTTACCTGAACAGCTTCTTTATGTTCTCTTGCTTCTAAACGAATTCTTGCCTGTTTCTATATACACATTTACAGACAGTATAATTATGTTTAAAGAAATTTGGACATAAAATTTACATAGTTTACATAGATAAGTATTGATTCTTTTTTTTATTTTAGCATTTTTTCTATATACACATTTAAAACAGTGAATAATTTAGGAAAGTTGGCAAAATTTACATTTTATTTTTAGCATTTTCACGGAACATTCTAGATATCTTTTTACTTACGCAAACATGTGTAATCTCTCGTTATGCTTAAAAATGTGTATTGAATTAAAATTATGAAGCTATGCATATTTGTAAACATTCAGAATGACGTAAGGAAACTTGTATTATTTTCATGTAGATAATAATTGACACGACTAAGATTGTTTTCTGATATACATGACCGATATTTGCCGACGAAACTAAGTATTAAGTTCAAATGTAGTTTAATTAAGTGTTATAAAATATATTTCTATGGCTACGGGTGATAAACGAATGCTGCATCGGATATGTAGCCATACTCGATGGAACATGTCCATATACGAAATTTCATTTTAGACATTGTCATAAAAGTGTCTTACAATGCGCTGTTAGATTTTTTATTTATATAAAAAACACTAATTTATTAAAATATTTAGAGGATATTTTTTTCGTTTTTCGTGAAATATGGAATATATTTTCACGAAATATGATAAAGTGCCACATATTTCTGGTGAAAATATGTGGCATTTTATCATGCTGAGTGATAATATATACCATATTTCACGAAAAACGAAAAAATAACCTTTTAATTTAATTTTATTATCAAAGAAAAATGGTTACGAACCCCCTTGCTTGTTACGCAACTGCAATCGACAGCACGCTGTAATATATTTATATATATATATATATATTTATTTTTATATAGAACTAATATATCCAAAACAGTGATTTTATCGTCCAATAATATCACTGTTTGGAGTTCAGATGAGAGGAATTATATCACGAGGGCGTAGCCCGAGTGATATAATATGATGCGCATCCGAACGACAGCGATAAAATCACTGTTTTGGATATGTTATTTCGATTCTAACACGACATCAACAAATAAATGCTGCCGTACCTGATATTAACCTATATTGCGCCTGATTTATTTCCCTAATTATTTTCAGCGCGTCACATTTTTAGTGGTTACGTCACGTGTCTATATATAGAACGTCAAACTGTGATTTTAATGCATAATTACACACACTTTCGGTTCTTCTATGTTCTATGGGGAAACATTTGGGTCGTGTTAGAATGATTGTTTATAGATACGTCTTGTTTTGCACGCGAAGTTTGGCGCTACATTGTGACGTCATGTAAACAACTCTTTTCACGTCTGTACAGCGTTAATGACTGAATTAAAGATATTGCTGTTCCGATTCGTTTTCTTGGTTAGACCATTTTCTATCATTTTAGATAGTTTTCAAAACAAAATTCAACAAAAAAAAAACAACTTTTATTTATCAGATGGCGAAAGAAGTCCCTTAAACTTAATATGAGCTTTGACTCCGCCCACCTTTATATTTATGTTTTATATTTATTTTATTTATGTGACTGATATTTTTTTCATTTTTCGTGAAATATGTGGCATTTTATCATGAAAAGTGAAAATATATTCCATATTTCACAAAAAAACGAAAATAACCTTTTTATTTAATTTCATCATCAAAGAATAATGGTTACGAACCCCCTTGCTTGTTACGCAACTGCAATTGTGCAGCGCGCAGTAATATAATTATTGTCTTGTTTTACACGCGATATTTAGCGCTACATTGTGACGTCACTGTTAAATAACATCACTGTTTGGAGTTCGGATGCGGGGAATTATATCACGAGGGCGTAGCCCGAGTGATATACTGATGCGCATCCGAACGACAAACAGTGTTGTTATCATGCGATAAAATCGATTTGGATATATTATTTCGATTCTAACAGGACATCAAAAAATAAATGCTGCCGTACCTGATATTTAGCTAAATTACGCCTGATTTGTTTCCGTAGTTATTGTCAGCACGTCACATTTTAGTGGTTACATCACGTGTACAATGATTACGTCACATGTCTAAATATAGAACGTCAAACAGTGATTTTTTACCATAATAACACACACTTTCGGTTCTTCCATGCTCAACAGGGGAAAATGCGGGTCGTGTTAGAATTAAAGATATTGGTGTTCGTATTTAATTTCTTGGTTAGACCATTTTCTATCATTCTAAATAGTTTTCAAAACAAAATTCAACAAAAGTTGTTTTGTATTTATCAGATTTTTCAAACAAAATGCGAAAGAAGTACCTGAAAATAAATATGAGTATTGACTCCGCCCACTTTTATATTTATATTTCATATTAATTTTGAAAAAAATATGAAATAAATTTGACTGATATATGGCTTAAATTAAGTAAAGCATCAAAGTTCATGGGTAAAATTAAATAAAAGTGTATATTTAAAATATACACTTCATTCGTTCTATATTACAAATGTTCATTAAATTTTATAGAATGCAATAAACCGGTGATCCAAGTTTAATATATGTTAAAAAGTAGTCAGATGCCTTAAGTTATATTGCGGTAACCCTCACTGCAATGTGATTATTCTCTCTGGTCATACAATGCTGCTACTACTGTCTAATCAATTTTGCTTTAAATTGTTACTACTCCGATTTTTTTTTCTTCCGCAAAAGTTGCTCATTTATTTCCCCCGTAATGAGTGCAATCGGATAAAGAGCCGTCCCCTATTGTACCTTACATTGATATTCCATGGCATATATCATATCAAGTATAATTATATTGAAAATACTGATTAAATATATAAAATATTGATATGCTAATATCAACAATGTTTTTATTGTTTTATTGCATGATGTTCAGTAAAGATTTGCTAATACATGTAATATGTACATGAACATTTCAGTCGTGTTGTATTCATGCTGAAATGCTGCCTTTGTCGACATGAATGACATGGTTTTCACTTTACCTAAAGATATTAACATTTCACAATGTATACTTTTCAATGTGTGACATCTTTATTACAGTATATATAATGTATTATCATAATCAATCATTGTACAGCTGTTTCTAACATTGTTAATATTATCATAAATTTTAAGGTTATTATTCATTATTGAGAACAGTACTGAATTGTATTGGACGAATACACAAAGCCCTCTTTGACGAAGTGCTTACTGTGTCTTATATAGGTTTTGCAGCTGCGTACTTCATTTATAACCTAGTAATAGAGAATCAAAGCTTTCCCTTATTGTAAACGGTGCATGTTTGTGTCAACTTTTATGCCCCGTAAAAGGCGTCTTTATGTACTAAATGTTATGGAGAATGGTTGTTTTTCCATTCAAAATTTTATTTTTCAAAAAATTTAATTTTAAAAATTTTTCTTTAAAAAAACAAGCAAGGCTTTATAAGGTGTGTCGTCTTTTACAACATACCATTTAATTAAAAGATTGATTCAATATCTACAAATAAAAAGTACAGAGTTTGCAACATCACATGCGATAAAAGCATGTCAGGAACGTGTTTTCCAATTAAATGTGGAATTTACTTGTTTTACTATTATTTTTTATCTTTATCATTTATTAATTACGCATAAATTTGGTTGCATTAGATTAATTTCAAATTTGTAATTAGCAGAATAAAGTCGACATTTTGTAATTTCTACCCGAACACCCGCTTTGTAAGACTAATTTCGATTCATTTTGAAGGGATTGCCTCTTTTGTCCTGATTAGCCGAACTATTTTTGTTTACAAAAAGGTGGTCAATGAAGTGAGTTTTCATAGGTTGTCATTTCTGTCATAAACATAAACGTGGCTTATAAAATTACACTTTAGAAAAAAAACATAAAACATGATGCAAGTGGTATGGAACTGTGGTCTTGTTTTTGTCGCTTTGGCCTGTACCGTCAAAGGGTCAGTGAAAAAAGGAGTTGTACATTGGGCTGACAGCTATGAATGCGATGATTTTAAAGTTTTAGACAACATTAATTGGTGGTAAGTCTTTTTATTTATTTGTAAAACGTATGTAAATAAAAGTCAGTACTTATATTTGTTTTTAATTTGTACGTTATGGGCTTAACTAAGTTTTTAATTTTTGACATTGAGGGACCGAACATATTTTTGAAGATTTGTGTACAAAGGGATGTATGTCTTAATCAAAATATATATCCAATCATTTGCTTAATCCGTTTTCCTGGGATAACAAATACTGAATTAATTGAGCGAGTTGGATAAAAATATATATTATGCAAGCCTCTGGCGAGTAAATTATTATTTTATTAAACGAGTTCAATAAATTCGGTAATAAACTTTCACGAATTCTTGAATCCTCTATTTATCACATGCCAAATATAAATACCGTTTGAAGTAGAAAAAAATGACGCGCCTATATGATAACGTTAGCATTTCGCGCCTGTAAACGCTATATTTGTTTAACGCAAATGACGTCACGTCAAAATTAAAGTACGGCTATGCAGTGCCATTTTTACAGAATCGCAAAAGCAGCACGTGTATGTGATTTTTTTTTTAAAATACATTTAAATTCTACAGCAAATTTTCTATGAACAGTAACATGAGAAAAATAACCAATGAAACAAAATACCATGGTTATATGTGAATGATAACAGCTTTTTTTTTGGGGGGGGGGGGTACCTAAAAAAGCGTCAGTTACTCTGAACAACAATTTGAAAATAATAAACGGAAATTCATATTAAGTTCTCGTTAAACAAAAATATAAAAATTCATGCGAATAAGAAGCATATTAGCAAATATGGCGGATATAGTTTCCGACTATGACTTTTTAATCAGCAACGATTTCTTTAAATCGTATTCAAGCTAAGAACTTATCTAGAATCTTCCCTTTTGAGTGACATCATTTTTTTCATTTAGGAGGCGATTCGGACTACGCCATGTTTGTTTCATATGAACTTTTATGAAAATTTATCAAATTTCTTTGAGATACAGTATCAATACGTTCAAGATATCATTGATTTAACTGATGGATAAATAACTAAATATGAACAAACTTGATTTTTTTAAATCGAAATTTTAGTTTTTTCATATATAAATAGAAGGTATCTTTACACAGGTATGACTTCAGAATGAATCTTGACTATTTCCACAAGAACGACATTTGTACATCCAGCGTTGATACTTATTTGTATAACTATGTCCCCATGGTTTGGGGATATTGGAGAGATACTGTGATTAACCTTCCGGACGAGTCACAACAGTTTGTCCTTGGTTTCAATGAGCCAAATCACAAGAAACAATCAAATATGTCACCTGAGAAAGCTGCTGCTGCGTGGAAAGAAGTTGAAAAGAATTCTGATGGAAGAAAGCTTGTGAGCCCTTCAGCTGCCCCTTGCGGTTATGAGTGTAATGTCAACGACTTTGAATGGTTCGATAAGTTTTTCGAGCTTTGCAAAGATTGTAGAGTGGATTACCTAGCGGCACACACGTATTGGTGTGACCCTGGTAAAGTGATGAATTACTTGTGGCAACTCTTCAAAAGATACAATCGAAAGATTTGGCTCACTGAGTTTGCTTGTGGCCAAACAACATATGAGATGGAACAATTAGATTTTATGGAACAAATACTACCAGCGCTGGAGGACGCCGATTTTGTTTTCAGGTATACAAAATGTTCCTAATAATTTATATTGTTACCGCTATTTCACAGTTACTGCTCAATTCATCAAAACTTTTTAAACTGAACACTAACTTCCGTTTTCGTTATATTATATCAAGAAGATGAATTTTGATTTAGTTTTCCAACAATATTTATGTTACAGTTATTACTTTTTAACATTTTTTTTTAATATTCGGGAAACTTATTGACAGTGATGATATGTTATAGTGAATCGAATATAAACACACATTTTTGTAAGCATATTTAGTTGACTAAACTGAGGCGTTTATACATGACAGAATTGATTTTTTTAAGACTTGTTTACCAAATATTTCATGTAGGTCAGGACCATTAACTTGATTGCAAAAGCGCAGATTATTCGCTCACTTTGTTTCTCCAATATAATTATTTGGGTTGTGAGAAAATACCCCCAAGAAATAAAAAAAAAAGCTTTTAAGCGTCTTTAGTTTAGATTGGGCTAACAATCACACAGAAATATGATGTGTCTTCGTATTAAACACAGAAACATACTCATGTCATTTTATTCGGTATTCATTTATTTTAAACCAATTAAAAAAATGTCAGTATATATAATATTGAATTAATCATATTTTAAAGTATACCAACTACGCAAATGATATAACCATTATTACTATACATTTACATCTTCGGTTGTAGATATTCCTGGTATTCAGCAAGAATAAAGACGTCTGGATTTGTTACCACATCTGCAAGTCTATTAAAACCCGACCGTTCAGAACTTACCACTTTGGGACGTTTCTACAACGATTTTCAAGGATCGTCAAGTATTTCATCTTATTTATTTTTTAAGCATTATCATCATCATCACCATCAGTAGCAGCAAAATCTTCTTATTGTTCTTTTCTTTCGTAACCATCATCATCGTGGTCTTCATCATCAACAACAAAATCAACTTTATCGTCTTCTACTATTTCATCATCAGCATCAACATCATCATCATCAGCATCATCACTATCATCATCATCATCATCGTCATTAATATAATAATATTGTTTTCGTTGTTTTTTTCTGCAAATGGTGATAGAAAAAATAGTAGTTCAACGTAGTGTACTAGCACTAGTAGTGGTAGTGGTGGTGGTAGTAGTTGTAGTAGTAGTAGTGGTGGTACTGGAAGTGTTAGTGATAGTTGTGGTGGTGGTGGTGGTGGTAGTGGTCGTAGAAAGAGTCGTAGAAGTGACTGAAGAGGATACCGGTTAGTAACAGTAGATATAGTGGTGGTTGTGGTAGTGATGGTGGTGGTTGTTGAAGTGGTTGTAGAAGTAGTCGAATAAGTGACAGTAAATGGGTAAGTAACAATATAGATTATATAGATAGTGGTTGTGTTAGTTGTGGTAGTAAAAGTATTAATCAAAGTGTAAGTGAAAGAAGTAAAGTATAAAAATTAAATGTTATGCTTTGTTTTCAGCGACAGCGATAGGTGGAAGTCGTTCATAAGGGAGGGGAGGAAAATAAGGGGAAATGTTAGTAAAAGTAGATTGTTGTTACTTAAGTATAAGTCGTGGTGGTAATGTTGGTGGTGGTGTGTGGTGGGGGATGGCGGTGGCAGGAGAAGTGGCTATGTAATAGTGAAAATAGTAGTATTGATGGTTGTGGTGGCAGTAGTAGTTGTTGTAGTTTTGGTGATGTAAATGATAGTAGCATCAGTGACAGTATAGAATTCTTATAATTTTCCAACTGACATAACATAAATAACACATGGGTTTGTGGGTAACAGTAAAACTATCATCCCGAGGAAAATACTGTTACCCGAGGCATAGCCTCGAACAAAATCTGCGATGATCTAAAATTGTCAAGTAAAATCTAAATTTAAACAAAATAAACCAAGAGTAACAATATCTAAACTATCCTTACCTTTTAGGTTTTAAGTGTACTGTAGGCATATTTGAGAAGTTTTTTTTCTCTCTTTTATTCTTTATACAAGTGATGATATCTACCAATGATAAACACACAATAAACTGCGTTTTATTTAGAAAACAAAACACAAACCCATTTATACGGTTATGATCTGTGAAATATGATCCTTCTGTATCCAGAATATTCTCTTCGCATGGTTTTTGACAAAGTGCATTTACAAAATAACACAATGATATCCTGTGTTTGTCAGTTTTACTGGTTAAAATTGTTAAATGATCCTTTGTTGCATGCTTTAATCGTCTGCATGTCCCAGTTTGACACATTATTATTCGCATAACAATTATAATTACTTCTGTTGAAAACGGATGTTTACTTTTTGACTATTCAACAAAAAGATATTTTATACGCAAAAAGCACTCTAGGGTGGAAAGAACTAAATTTTATAGGTGTCCTATCGTGTTTAACTTCGAACATAAGAATTCATGAATCAAGAAAGAAAATGGCGGCCATTTTATTTCTTTTTATTTTAGAAAATAGACCACGTGACCAGATTTTATACTGTTAAAAAGTAATAAGTACAAAATTCACCTGGTGCACTTACATTTACAGTAAGATTAACTCCCAGGGGCCTATGGGAAATTACCATTACGAAAAAAGTGAGGGGTGATAAAAAATTTATTGCACGAACATAAGTTCAAATCTTAGAGATTATCGGCTGAATACATAAATAACAGCTCCTCATTCTCCTTGGTTGTATTCGAACCCACACTACGTGTATATTAAATAAAATGTAGTCAGAAAAAGAAGCATATTGTTACATATACCACTACTCAAATTAATGATCCATTTTTTTATATAGGAAAATTTATGACTATTTTGTTGGGTATATTTATTTGAAATAAATCAAAAACATCATTTGACAGAATAAAATTTTGCCCCTTAAGATTACATTAAATTAAAGAAATCTTAATTGGCAGACTGTTATCGAAATCATTAAACTCATTTTAGAATGCATTTTTGATTTGTGTTTGAACATGTTCGAGGTCTCTTAAAGAGTCTATTCTAGAACCTTTCTTCTAGAACTCGAATATTAAAGATATAACGATACTTTACAGGCGAGATTTCTACTTCTCCAGAGCCACAGATTACCACAGCAGCCGATGTAAATGTGGTAGGCAGGGATGAAACGCTCCTTATATTAAAATCTTTCACTTCAAACCCAACCAAATGGGGGAAGATTCTCAATTTTATGAAGAAAAACTCATATACGCTGTCAGATGCTGTACAAGATGTATACGGGACTTCGTCAAAAAGAGACATAAAAGAGCGGATTAAAAACCGGTTCATCGAGGTGTTGTGTACCAATGTTGAAGATTTGCAGGACACGGATGTGAGGTAAGTTTGTTAACTCTGGCGCTACCATTATAATAAAAAGTGACATAATGGCGGTATCCGACCATTCTTCCAGGTTACATTCAAGATGTAACGTGAACGTGACGTTCAAGATCAAAGGTCAATCACTGACATAAAAGGTCGATAATAATTATATTGAGTTTCTTTCTGGTGGTATGTATAATTCGGCAAGTGATATAAGTTCAGCGGGTGCTCATTTTATGCTTAGAACGTATATTTAATTAATGATATTATGATTTTCTTTTACCCTTAACATGCCTTAATACGGAGATAAAACCATACAGACGAAATTAAAAATATTGACTGAAAATAGACATTTTTGACTATCAAATGGCACAAATTGGCCGCTGATTTCTTGGTTGGGTTTGCACTGATCACATGAGTTTAATCTGTCGCCACTAAAAGGACTAAGGGTTAAGTAAAGATTTTGCAAAGAACGGCAATTTTTCAACCAAACATTATATTTTTCCCTTTCATATATAATTTTAATCCTATCTTCGTCACATATGGCATTGCAACTATACATCTTGTTACGTTTGAACATGGTGCTCATTGAATTGTTTTTGTCTTTATTTAGGTTCCTAGTTGAGAAGATTAAAGATATGCCTCTAGAAGGGAAGAAAGGTAAAGGTAAAACAAATGCGGGAGAGCTACGCGTTCCAAAATGCTGAAGAACAGAGTGCAATTTGTACCTATTTCATGTTTTATTCCAATGAGGCAATGTTGTACAATTGTAGTAAATAAAACTTATTAATAGCTTTCACCCTCATTACTTTGAACGTTGAAGTCATACCTTTTCCACTGAAATTATGTGTTAGAGATAGGCAAACGATTTCTGGCAAATTTGAGTGAGATATTTTGGACAAAAGTTGGAAAGTGTTTCTTCCAGCGTACTGTATTCTGACCCTTTGCCGGACAGGACCATGTGCCGGAAATTTTTTTCTTTTTTCATGTTTGATAGAATGCATTTGGTTATAAAATGTCTTTTTAAGGACAACTTTTAGAGAAATATACAGATACCAATAATATCATTAATTTTAAAATAAGTGTAAGGTATGGTAATTTTTTTATTGTTTTTTTTTTTATTTGAAATAGAAAAAGAAAAGGTAATACAAAACATGCATGAAAGTAGGAAATAACTTAAATAAATTGTTTAATTTACAATGCGCGTATCACTGCAATGATGTTCTTATGCTAACCAGATCTTCGACTAATATTTGTAACTGTTGTTGACGCTACTTTGTGATGACACCATTGTTGTCGAGATGTTTGCGGAAATAATATAAAGCAACAGACGAACTATGAATTTTCTTAGAGTTAGTTTCTTTAAAGCAGCATGCCCCAGATTCATGCCAATTTGTATCGACAGTCAACGGCCAGTCTACACTCCACCTACCTACCACAACAACGAGGATCGAGTTACTCCATCCTTTCATCTTCTCTAAGTCTTTACATTTTATTGAATACATTTTGAACCTATTTCATTATATTTATTTATATTTTAATTTATTTATAATTTAATTTATTATAAAGCATTCGATCATATTTGACCAATATCTGTGTGTACCTGTTGTGTGCATCGCTCTTCCTAACAGATACTATTTCTTGTTATTTTAAAAGAAGTTCTAGACCGTTATATAATACCATTTTTTAAAGAGTACATTTAGTGTACAAGTATTATACCTATTATTAATGAATAGACGGCTGATCAACAGAATATATACATACAATGCAGAACAGGGTAGCCAGATTTCGTCCATCTTGTCATCATAGGGACCTATCGGGCGTTCTTGGAAGTGCATTGGACAAACGAGAGGACCGCTATGTAACTAAGACAGTGTCAAGGAAAGTATGTGTCCTGAAAGGGCTTAATGGCAACATCACAAATGTAAAAAATTCAAAGCATTAATTACAACAAAATTACATGAAAATTGCTGACTTGATTTGATTGAGTCTGTACATGGGTGAATAAGTGCAGCATCCCTCACGCCCCCTAGCACCGGCTTGAGCGGTACTCAATTCTTAACACTCAAAAATACCGGCATCAATGATCCCGAAAGACCAGAAAAAAATCATAAGAAAAAAAACGAAAAAAAACTCTTGTCGAAACTCAAATGTGGCCCTCCAATATATTCGGCATTTTTCTTGATTTTAATTACATTACAAATTCATATCTAGGCTAGTTGAAAAGTGTTCAGTATTCAAGAAATTGTGTGTTACCTTTCATTACAGGATTTATTTTAGATTCTTAATTCTTTACAATTAGTAACGAATTCTTTATCATTCTGGAGATTAAAAAAAAAATTTTATAATAAAAAAAGCTGCATATGTCTGTAAACCGTTGCGATCTTTCACAGTTAGCAAAACCTTTAAATTGCACTAAAAGTACAAACGGGTTTGACATTTGAAACGTGCCGCTCTTGATATAAGTATATTTTTAGCCTTGAATAAAAGTTAAAATAACTCATAAAACTACATAAATACATATATGTTTGGGGAAATAATATAAAAATGGAACATGATGGTGTACTTCATGTCCTTTGAACAGAAAAAAACAACAATTTCATATCATTGCATATTTAATGGAATGTTAATTGCATGAATGTTATTGTACAATATACTATACTGTCACTACACCAAATGATTACGGCTATGGTGTATGAACAAAGTCAATTATGTGTAAATTACTGTTGCAATTTTAGGGAAAGGGCTTTGATGAATTGATAATCTGTTTATCTGTTTGATGTTTGTCGGTCCGTTTGATCTTTCATTTTTAGATAAATGCAGTCTGTAAACGTATGATTTGGTCATTTTCGGAATAAAGACCGCATGAAATGAAGTGAGGTTTCATAAGTTGTCATTTCTGTCATAAGCATAAACGTTGTTTATACAAAATCCATAGTGATTAAAAATGACGCAAATGGTATGGAACGGAGCTCTCGTTTTTGTCGCTTTGGCCTGTACCGTCCAAGGGTCAGTGAAAAAAGGAGTTGTACATTGGGCTGACAGCTATGAATGCGATGATTTTAAAGTTTTAGACAACATTAATTGGTGGTAAGTCTTTTCATTCATTTGTAAAATGTATTTACATAATTTAAGTACTTATATTTTTATAAAACAGTACGCTATGGGCTCAACTAAGTTTTCAATTTTTGGCATAGAGGGACCGAAAATATTTTTTGAAGATTGGTGTACCAATGGATGTATGTCTTGATCAAAATATATATCGTTTCTTAAATTTCAGATCTTTCGCTTAATCTGTTTTCCTGGGATAACAAAAACTGAATTAATTGAACGAGTTGGATAAATATATATATTATGCGAGCCTCTGGCGAGTAAAATGTTATTTTATTCAACGAGTTCAATAAATTCAGTAATAACAAATATAAATACCGTTTGAAGTGAAAATCATAATTGACGCGTCTATAGGATAGCGCGTCTAAACGCTATATTTGTTTAACGCAAATGACGACACCTCAAAATTTGAGTACGCCTATGCAATGCCATTTTTACAGAGTCGCAAAAGTGGCACGTGTATGTGATAAAATTTTATAAAACATTTAAATACTCTAGCAAATTTTCTATGAACTGTAACATGACGAAAATAACTAATGAAACTTACTTCTATGGTTATATGCAAATGTCTTTGCTGAGATAACAGCTTTTTGGGGGTGGATGGGGGTTGGGTAACCTAAAAGAGCGTCAGTTACTCTGAACAACAATTTAATTAAGAATGAAAATAATAAACGGGAATAATAATTCATATTAAGTTTTCGTTAGACAAAAATATAAAAATTCATGCGAGTAAGAAGCATATTAGCTAATATGGCGAATATAGTTTCAGACTTAGGCTTTTTTATCAGTTTCGTATTCAAGCTAAAAATTTAAAATTTATCTAGAATTTTCCCTTTTGAGCGACATCATTTTTTTTCCATTTAGTAGGCGATTCGGACTACGAATTGACATGTTTGTTTCATATGAAATTTCATGATCATTTATCAAATTTGTTTCACATACAGTATCAAAGTTGACGTTCCAGATATCATTGACTGATGGATAAATAACAGAATATGCACAAAGTTTATTTATTTTAATCGAAATTTTAGATTTTGATATATAAATAGAAGGTATCTTTACACAGGTATGACTTCAGAATGAATCTGAACTATTTCCACAAGAACGACATATGTACATCCAGCGTCGATACTTATTTGTATAACTATGTCCCCATGGTTTGGGGGCATTGGAGAGATACTGTAATTAACCTTCCAGAAGATTCACAACAGTTTGTCCTTGGCTTCAACGAGCCAAATCATAAGAAACAATCAAATATGTCACCCGAGAAAGCTGCTGCTGCGTGGAAAGAAGTTGAAAAGAATTCCAAAGGAAGAAAGCTTGTGAGTCCTTCAGCTGCAACATGCGGTGATAAGTGCAATGTTGACGAATTTGAATGGTTCGACAAGTTTTTCGAGCTTTGCAAAGGATGTAGAGTGGATTACCTAGCGGCACACACGTATTGGTGTAACCCTGGTAAAGTGATGAGATACTTGTGGCAACTCTACAAAAGATACAATCGAAAGATTTGGCTCACTGAGTTTGCTTGTGGCAAAACAACATACGAAATGGAACAATTAGATTTTATGGAACAAATATTACCAGCGCTGGAGGACGCCGATTTTGTTTTCAGGTATACAAAAGGTTCCTAAGAATTTATGTTGATATCGCTATTTCACAGTTATTGTTCAATTGATCAAAAATGATTTTAACTGATCACTGACTTCTATTTCTGTTACATTGTATCAAAAAGATGAATTTTGAGTTTTGCGAGCTCTAAAAATATTTTCTTTTGCATTCATTAATTATTTTTAACAAAAGCATTAATGTTCGGTAATTTTGTTGACAATGATGATATGCAATAGTGATTCGATTATATACACAAGTTTTTGTACGCATATTGTTATATTTGTTAACCATTTGATGAATGTATGGGCCAATAATTTATTTGCAAAGGTAACAGCACAGATCATTTGGGCACTCCTTTTCTCTAGAATAATTATTTCAGCTTGTGAGAAATGACCCACAAAATGAGAAAAAAATAATAAAATGCGTTTAAGCGCTATTGAATTCAGTCGGGCTTAGACTCGCACAAAAAATATGATGTGTCTTCGTATTGAACACAAAAACATACCCATATCATTTAAACGGTATTCATTTATTTTAAACTAATTCAAAAATAGCAGTAAAATAATAAATTAAGTTTATCTGTATTTCAGCCACCTCCGCAAATAATATAAGCATTATTATTATACATTTCCATTTTCTGTTTTCAGATATTCCTGGTATTCAGCGAGAATAAAGAAGTCTGGATTTGTTACGACATCTGCGAGTCTCCTTAAACCCGACCGTTCAGAGCTTACCACTTTGGGACGTTTCTACAACGATTTTCAAGGATCTTCGAGTAATTCATTTTATTTAATATTTAAGATTATCATCAACAGCAACAGCAGCAGCAGCAGCAGTAGCAGTAGTTAGTAGTAGTAGTAGTAGTAAATGGGTAGTAGTTAGCATTAATAGTAGTAGTAGTAGAAGTTGTAGTTGTTGTAGTTGAAGGGGCATTAGTAATGGTACTAGCGACAGCAATTATGGTGGTAGTCGGTTCATAATGGTAGTCGTAGTGATAGGTAGTGGAAGTGGTAGTAGAAGTAGATATAGTTGCAGAGGTGGTGGTGGTAATGTTGGTTGTGGTACTGGTGGTGGTAGAAGTAGTAGCGTTGATATTCTGGTGGTGGTAGAAGTAGTAGCGTTAATAATCTGGTGGTGGTAGAAGTAGTAGCGTTGATATTCTGGTGGTGGTAGAACTAGTAGCGTTGATATTCTGGTGGTGGTAGAACTAGTAGCGTTGATATTCTGGTGGTGGTAGAAGTAGTAGCGTTGATATGCTGGTGGTGGTAGAAGTAGTAGCGTTAATAATCTGGTGGTGTATAGAAGTAGTAGCGTTAATAATCTGGTGGTGGTAGAAAGTAGTAGCGTTGATATTCTGGTGGTGGTAGAAGTAGTAGCGTTGATATTCTGGTGGTGGTAGAAACTAGTTAGCGTTGATATTCTGGTGGTGGTAGAACTAGTAGCGTTGATATTTCTGGTAGTGGTAGAAGTAGTAGCGTTAATAATCTGGTGGTGGTAGAAGTAGTAGCGTTGATATTCTGGTGGTGGTAGAACTAGTAGCGTTGATATTCTGGCGGTGGTAGAAGTAGTAGCGTTAATAATCTGGTGGTGGTAAAAGTAGTAGCGTTGATAATAGTGAAAATAGTACAGTAATAGTATTATTGATGGTGGTGGCAGTAGTTGTAGGTAGTTATTGTAGTTTTGGTGATGTAAATGATAGTAGCAGCAGCAATGCCAGTATAGAATTATAATTATTTTTTAACTTACATGTTTTAATTGCACAAACAGGAGTCTGACTCTTACAGATAATGGGCTGAATATATATAACAATGATTGTATTCGAATGCACAGTATATTGAATAAAACGAAGCATATTGTTACATGTACCACTACTCAAATTAATGACTGACTTATTTGAAATGATTATATATATTGTACCTCGGGAATCCTGGAATCAAAAACATCATTAAATAAGATAACATTTTTGCCGTTCAGAATAAATTAAAATTATTATAAAAAGATCTTAATAGGAAGATGTTTTATATAAAAGAAAAACATTTACTTTATAGAATGCATTTTTAATTGTTTTTTGAAGAACAAGTTCGGTTTCTCTTTAAGTGTCCAATCTAGAACTATTTAATTTCTAGAACTCTCTTCTCGGCGGGATAAGAAGCAAAGAAGCACATCTTTACAAGCTTTTAGCATATAATTATTTTGTTCCATATATGAATATAAAATATATAATGATAATTTACAGGCGAGTTGCCTACTTCTCCTAAGCCACAGATCACCACAGCAGTCGATATAAATGTGGTAGGCAGGGACGAAACGCTCCTTATATTGAAGTCTTTTACTTCAAACCCAACCAAATGGTGGAAGGTTCTCAATTTTATGAAGAAAAACTCATATACGCTGCCTGTTGCTGTACAAGATGTATACAAGACGTCGTCAAACAGAGACCTCAAACAGCGGATTAAAAAACGGTTCATCGAGGTGTTGTGTACCGATGTTGAAGAATTGCAGGACCCGGATGTTAGGTACGTTCGTTACCATTGTAATCAAAATGATATCATGGCGTTATCTTCCAGGATATTTTCAAGATGAAGATGGAAGATTTATATGACGCTCAAGTTCATTCATATATATACGTGAAAGGTCGATAAGAACTATCGTGAGTTTATTTTTTGTGACATGTATAATTCGGCAGGGGATACAAGATCGGCGCATGCTCTTATTATGCTTAGAACTTATATTTTTAACATAAAACATCATGTTTGTTCCTTTAATATGTACATTGGTAAATACATTTTTATCCTGTCTTCTTCAAATTTAACATAACAACTAGACATCAATTACGTTCATTTAATTGTTTTCGTCTCTTTTTAGGTTCCTAGTTGAGAAAATTAAAGACATGCCCGAAGGAGAGAAGAAAAGGAGAAGAAATGCGGGAGAGCTACGCGTTCCAAAATGCTGAAGAATAAAGTGTGCATGTAATTTGTACCTATTTTTTATTTCTTTATTTTCCAATAAACGTTGTACAATAATTGTAGTAAATAAAACTTATTGATATTTTTGACCCGCATTACTTTGAACGTTGAAGTAATACTTATGCCACTAAAATTATGTACCGAAGATGTGCAGACCAATTCTGGCAAAATTGGAGTGAAATATTTTGGACAAAATTTGAAAAGTGCTTCTTTCAGTGTACGGGATTTCGACCCTTTGCCGGACAGGACCATGTGCAGAAAAGGACCATGTGCCCGACATTTTTCCTGTTTCATTTTTGATAGATAGCATTTGATTATAAAATGTCTTTGTAACATGGTCAATCTTTAAAGAAATATATAGATACTAAAAATATCAAGAAAAATCAAGATAAGTGTAAGGTATGGTAATTTTTTATTGTGATTTATTACAAATAGAAAAAGAACAGGTTATACAAAACATGCATGATAGTAGGAAATAACTTAAATAAATTGGTTAATATACAATGCGCGTATCACTGCAATGTTGTTCATATACAAAAATCATTTGTTAAACAGATCTACAGCTAATATTTGTAACTGTTGTTGACGCTGCTGTGTGATGACACCATTGTTGTCGAGATGTTTGCTGAAAAAATATAAAGCAGAAGATGAACTCGGAGTTTATTTTGAGTTTGCTTCTTTGAAGCAGCATGCCTCACGATTTCTGCCACTTTTCATGAACATTTTGAAAATGTATTTCAATAGTAACAATTTGTGAAGAGGACATAGCAAGTGCACATACAACCCGCGTAAATAACACCAAAAATATTGAATAAATATGCAAAAACAGCCATTACTGCATTAGTCACTCAATAGAAATGTAGTGATAAATACAAATACAACACATAACACGTTAATCGTTCCTTGAATTTTGAATATTTTTTACTTTTCTTTAAATTTTAGTACATTTTTCTCCAGTTTGATTTTCTTGAAATATTTTGGCTCATCTGGGACATGCAGCTTTCATGCACATCCGTCAGTTCATACAGGACCAGGACAATTCGCGAACAGTAAAGTTTTGCAATTGTGTTCGGGTCAAATAAAAATCAGAATTTAATCAACAATGTATAATGGTACTTCGTTTCACATGACCATTGTTTAATTTTGGACATTTAGACAGAACTATGTTAATTCTAAATGAGATATTGATTTATCTTAGGCTCTGGAAATAAAACCGAGGATAAATAAAGAATACTTGGTCCAATAGTGATTTTTATTGGAAATCACGAGGCATGAACACGCTGAAAGTTTTTGGTTACATAAGAAAAAAGTATGAATTTATAGAAGTACGTAATGATTATAATAATTATGTAACATTTAAAGAAAGCAAAATTATTTGATTGAAGAGTGTGTTTTTTCAGCATACTACAACATTTTTACGGCACGCCTCAAAAATGCATTTTTTTCAATTCTTTAAAAATGTCAAACATGTGTTTTAACAATGTTCTAATAATTGATTTTGAGTATATTAGATGTTTCACAACAGAAGTAAGTTGCACTGAACGTGCAGTAATATGTCGTAAAGGTAAAACATGTGAAAAAGTAGTATTTTGACCATAGAAAATACTCATTCACGATGAATATACCCATTATCAAGAGATCATAGGAAGTAAAAGATAATTCATCTATGTACAAATTAGTTTTTTTTAAACTAAAAAGATACCCCCCCCCCCCCAAGAAGGGAAGTTTTTGAGAAATCAAAAATGATGCATTTCTAAGACATACTTCAATAATTATACGTGTAATATACATACCACCTCCCATTCCCGGATTTTGCACAAAGACAGTAGTTCTGTTGCTGGAACAACAACATTTGTAACAACACACGCAACACCCAATCAGTATACCAAAAAACACTATTGATGACACGATTGGTGCCCAACTGAAAAATTGGTAAAACATTATATGGTGTATAAAAGGAAAAAGTAAACATGTACTGTACATGCACGAAATTTTAGTCCGTTTCTTTTTGTCCAATAAACGATTGAACACATTTCTCCTGCAGTTAATTTTGTTTGCCTGTATACAAGAATATGGTATACCGTTCTGTTGAATAAGGAGTTATTGATTTATTATAAGTGTATCTTATATTTATATTTGTTTTGACTTTTGTTTTTAAGTCTGTTCTTTGTTTTTCATAAAACATTTCGCAAACAACAAAACAAAACGAAAACAACATACTTATAAAATTACCTGCAAACCACATTCACCATGAAATAAAAGTATGGTGGCTGATTTGTGACAATCGTGTGTTCGCCCCGCGACCCCGCCAAGCAAAAAGTCGAGAATTAACAAGTAAAAATGGCGAGGGCGCGGAGTGAAAAGTCGCTAATTAGCGGGGGCGCGGGACGAAGTAAAATAAATTAAACTTAGCCCCGCGTGGGCACGAAGCGAGATTTAAGAAATAAAACAGCGGGGCGCGGAGCGAAACACGTTAATAAGCGCCATGGATTATTAGCGTTTTTTCACTTTCCGCCGTCGCCATTTTAACTTTTAAATTCAAATTCTCGACTTTTCGCTTGGCGGAGCCGCGGGACGAAGCTAATTAACGTGGGTGCGGGGCGAGGTTTCATTTACTTACTTAATTTCGCCCCGCGCACCTGCTAATAAGCGTGTTATTGCTCCGCGACCACGCGGGGCGACATTTTATTTCTTAAACTTCGCCCCGCGCCCCCGCTAATTAGCGTGTTTTCCGCCCGCGACCCGACAGTTTTATTTTTTTTAAATCTCGCTCTCAACCCCGCAGGACGACGTTTTGTTTCTTAAACTTCCTCTCGCACCCTCGCTAATGAGCGTGTTTTTGCTCCGCCTCTCGCCATTTTAACTTGTTAATTCTCGACTTTTCGCTTGGCGGAGTCGCGGTGCGAAAATACGTTGATATGTTGAGGCGCGGGGTGAAGTTTTTTCTACTTAACTTCGTCCCGCGCTCCCGCTTTTTAGCGTGTTTTCCCTCCGCGACCCCGCCGTTTTATTTTTTAAATCTTGCTCCGAGTCTCCGCGGGGGCGAAATTTTATCGCCCTGCGCCCCCTCTTTTTAGCGGCTTTTCGCTCCGCGCACCCGCCATTTTAACTTGTTAATTCTCGACTTTTCGCATGGCGGGGTGCGGAGCGAAAACACGAATGGCACATATCAGTCACTATATAAAAGGGTAAAATGACAGTGATACATGATAAAATAGTTCTTGAAAGCTCGGGATGTTTCGTCATTTTCCGTGTCTTTTATTGCACATATTGAGCGCCTAATGATCATGATTTCAGGAATAAGTGATAATCTTGCTAATTCAACGCTTTAAAAATAACTACTAGATATTTTTCGAAACGAATAATGCCAAATTTGTACTGGCTATAAATTGGCAAATACCTCAAAATGCAGTAAATGGAAACAAAGGTTTATAACAAAGCACTTCATTTCTTTTATTATTAAATCAAAATTTTGAAGCGGTTAACTAACAACAGCGATCAGTAGTCACATGTGTCGCCTCATGATGGCCAATTTCATGTTTGGACAAATTTTGTGACGGATGGACAGACAGACGGACAGTGTACAACTAGACTTGGTACTGATCATTCCTGTAAAGTTTTGATGAAATTGAACCAGTAGTTTATGAGGAGTAGTCCGGGCAAGCTTTTGTGTATCTGGCAACACACACAAAAAAAACCTTTTTATCAAAGGGCCATAACTCGGCCAAAAATCATTCAACTGAAAAACCCGTGCAATATGCGCAAGGACTTGAGCTACAGATCAATCCTGTAAAGTTTCATTGAAATTGCATTAGTGGTATAAGAGAAGTAGTCCGGACAAACTTTAAAAATAAAAAATATTAAAGGACCATAACTCAAACAAAAATCATTGAACCGGAAAATGCTGACAATATGCACAACTAGACTTGGTACTGATCATTCCTGTAAAGTTTTGATGAAATTGAACCAGTAGTTTATGAGGAGTAGTCCGGACAAGCTTTTGTGTATCTGGCAACACACATGAAAAGAAACCTTTTTATCAAAGGGCCATAACTCGGCCAAAAATCATTCAACTGAAAAACCCGTGCAATATGCGCAAGGACTTGAGCTACAGATCAATCCTGTAAATTTTCATTGAAGTTGCATTAGTGGTATAAGAGAAGTAGTCCGGACAAACTTTAAAATTAAAAATTATTAAAGGGCCATAACTCTGACAAAAATCATTGAACCGGAAAATGCTGACAATATGCACAATAAGACTTGGTACTGATCATTCCTGTAAAGTTTGGATGAAATTGAACCAGTAGTTTATGAGGAGTAGTCCGGACAAGCTTTTGTGTATCTGGCAACACACAGTAAAAGAAACCTTTTTATCAAAGGGCCATAACTCGGTCAAAAATCATTCAACTGAAAAACCCGTGCAATATTCGCAAGGACTTGAGCTACAGATCAATCCTGTAAATTTTCATTGAAGTTGCATCAGTGGTATAAGAGAAGTAGTCCGGACAAACTTTAAAATTAAAAATTATTAAATGGCCATAACTCTGACAAAAATCATTGAACCGGAAAATGCTGACAATATGCACAATTAGACTTGGTACTGATCATTCCTGTAAAGTTTTGATGAAATTGCACCAGTAGTTTATGAGGAGTAGTCCGGACAAGTTTTGTGACGGACGGACAGACAGACGGACAGACAGACAGACAGACGGACAGACAGACGACGGAGAAGTGATCCCTATATGTCACCACTACTCCGTAGAGGCGACAAAATAATTAAATGTTATCCTATTAAATGTTATTCGGATTGCTCTGTTTTTATGTTCACACTTAAAAACATATTATTCAACACGCGTGAAACAAAATAATCACACTTACACGTGATGTTTCCACCAAAGATTACAGAAATCATCCCTATCGTCAGATGACGCTTGTAGAAGAACGCTGTCACAGCAATATAGACCGAGGACCCCGTTTGTTGAACCACAACAGAAGTTGTCACACCATTGCGGATCGTTCCAGTCATTAAGAATGTTATAGTACCCTTCGCAGCACTCGCCTGCGGTCGTGAATGGAACTAAAATGTTAAATATGAAAGGAGAAAAAAACATTAATAAATATAAAAATCTGATAATTTTTGTATAAAATAGTATTTTTTTAGATAGTTTATTCGCTGTTAAGGATATTAAATTTTAGCAAAGCGCAGAGCAGCGCAGTGTCATCCAACACCATATCGCAGCGCATATCATATCATGTCATAATATACCAATTTATTCAACACCTTATAAAATGTATCAACTCAACTTCCTTCTCATTGACAATCATAATCTATAATTAATATTGGATCCATTATTATCAGTTTAGCCTCGTTTTCATTTCCAAGAAAAAATCCATCTCAAGTTGCTGTTTGCACTCCGACTAGCCTCGAGTCCAAAAAGAGGTGTCAAATTCTACTCTGAGTAACAAAGTTATGTCAAAATGGTGAGAAATAAAGAGTTCATTGTTGAGTTAAAAACAAAACGGATTCTGCTGGACGCGTACACAACTGCAAAAACCTAGAGACTCGTCCAATATAGATTTGACAGTCTTATAGTTACACTTCCGATATTATTAAGAATTGTACTCAACATTGTCAAATAAAATCATACAAAAGGCATAGCATAGCATAGCTCAGTTTATAACATATCAAAGCATACTTCACAATTTTACGTACGAAATCAGTTTATTAATGCATAGGGAGGGCGTCTTGTGCTAAAATGGTCTAATCAGTAATTATTATCCTTTTACTCGTGAATCTCCGTGAATAGTACGGAAACAAACGAATGACACAGCTTATTAAGAGATTAAATCATTGATTATCCATCAAATTTTGTCAAGAAAGATTTTGCAATGCTATGCTTCATTAAGTAGGCTAGTTAAGGGATATACGAGTACAGACAGCAATCTTTTATAAATATTCTAGCATCGGACCATGCTATATTGCCCCTTATATCCCTTCAACAACCTATATACATGTAACAATGATTTTATAATAAAAGCCCAATTTTTAATAAAAATGAATTTGTAATTATGTCAAGGTTTTATTTTGTCCTAATTTAATAAAAACCTAACCCACTATCCTTTTATTACGAATTTATCTGATAAAATGCATATCTTAGATATGATCGCCCGATTTCCTGATTGGATATATGATAGAATTTGATATACGGTCTAAGACTCACAGTAATCGGTTCAAATGCCACAACATCCGGTCCAAGTGCTTTTATATGGTTCCTGGTTTAAGCCAATTAGTTACAGCCCCCTATTATCTGGTAAAAATCTAACAGTATCCGGTGCTAGTTCCATTGTACACGGTCTCTGTACAGTCTCAGTACATGTATCTGGTACATGTATCTGGTCACAGCCCCACAGTACCACACCACAATCATTATCATTATTATCATCGTCATCATCATCATTATCAATTATTTTGTTAATTATCATTAATGTTATCTTAGTAATCTTATTGATAATATACGCCGATTTGCTTTTCATAGGGATAACATCATAGCCAATAATAAGACACACTGCTAGTGTTAAACGATATCACACAGGAGTTTAAAGTACCATGTACACATGTCACAGGGTGAAAAAAATGTGCAGGCTGACCGGGAATCGAACCCGGGACCCTCGGAATACCGTACCCCGGCTGAGCTATCCGGCCGCTTACACATCTCCTTTCCTAAATAGTAAACAGTTCTGAACCGTGACATACTCCTCTGCTATTGAAATTCGTCCTTGAATTTCACAGAGTTACAGACCAATGTAAATTAAACTCTGAGCTATATGCAGTCATAGTCCCATGTTGGGCGCCAAATGTCACAGGATGAGAAAAATGTGCAGCCTGACCGAGACTCGAACCCGGGAACTTCGGAATACCGTACTGCGGATTTACCGACTTTGCTATCCGGCCTCCCCTAAATAGTTAACAGTTCTTAACAAACATACACCATTAAAGAAACTTATGATATTGAAGAGTTTTACGTCACACCAACTTTCTTTCTAGCTTTACATGGGGAGGAAGATCTCAGGCGCCCACTTCCTTTGCATTAATCTAGGCACAAACGGGGATCTTTGTAGAAATACCCGCGTTCCGTAAGCTATCTAGAAAGTTTCTCCACATAGAAAAATCCAAAGTCCTTTTTAGGATTTGAACCTACAGCGGTGAGGGACAAGTTGTTTGAAGTCAACGACCTTGACCACTCGGCCACGGACGTCCTTATAAAATATCGGATCTATCAAATAGCTTCAATTTCCGTTATCACTTAAATGGACTCCATTGAGATTTTTTGGACATGACGGGACTGGAATTAATTTTCCGAGATGTGTGTTTCATTTCTCGAGATGTGTATTTCATGTGTATTTCATTTCTCGAGATGTGTATTTCATTTCTCGAGATGTGTATTTCATTTCTCAAGATGTGTATTTCATTTCTCAAGATGTGTATTTCATTTCTCGAGATGTGTATTTCATTTCTCAAGATGTGTATTTCATTTCTCAAGATGTGTATTTCATTTCTCGAGATGTGTATTTCATTTCTCGAGATGTGTATTTCATTTCTCAAGATGTGTATTTCATTTCTCAAGATGTGTATTTCATTTCTCGAGATGTGTATTTCATTTCTCAAGATGTGTATTTCATTTCTCAAGATGTGTATTTCATTTCTCGAGATGTGTATTTCATTTCTTAAGATGTGTATTTCATTTCTCAAGATGTGTATTTCATTTCATTTGATGTATGTCTATACCAATAACTTGTGTGCACAATTTCAGCTCCGTTTTTCCAGAATAATTATTTTAATTGTGAAATCAAAAATAAGAATTTCAATATTTTTATGGGTATAATTCTTAATTTTAATGTTTTGTAAATCTTTCTGGTTTAAGTGACCCAGTCGATCATGTAGGAAATTAAAATTTTATGTTTCTTTAGATCATTGAACCACATTCCTTTAACCTGCCTTTAATATTGTAACGATTTGAAACGGTAATCGAATAAATAAATGTGCAGATATTTTAAGATTCAAAGTTTGATTTTTTGACACGATCCTTGGGTTTAAAATATTCGACATGAATAAACATATTTCTTTCTTCAGAAAAAAACCCCAAAAACAACAACTTAAAACAACAACAAAAAAACAATGAGATATGTTTTCCTGTTGACATTTTGAAGGAACTTGACAAAACTATTCTTAGACCAAACCTGAAGTGCAGTTTAGTTAATATAAATAGGCACGGACATTTTTCAATGAGTTCAAAATAAATAAAAATAAATAATTAAAACGGAAAATTATACAAAAGATGATAAGAAATAAAATTTTAAAAGTGGGTGATTTTTAGCTTGTTTTTGAGTTTAAACAATAAATATGATTATTTTGGAAACACGGAGTGAGTGAATGTTCAGAAATTTTGGGAAAAAAAGTAATTGATCTAAGCCTATTGCAAATTTCAACACAACTTGAAACAAATACAGTCCCGTCATGTCCGAAACCCTTAGTGGAGTCACTTTGAAAGTATGCATAGATCAGAATTTCAATAATCTTCATATTTGAGATTTAATTTTAAGGGGAAAAACAACTCTTACCCTTACATTTATTCGGTTTTAGGAAAGAAAAATACACTGTAGCAAAGTGAAAAGCTTACCTATTGCCAGAAGAAATAAGAGTGAAAACATCTTCATTTGTCAGCAAGATTTACAATGTTGTTAGGTAATTCTTTAATCGTGACAACGAACGTACATACTCAACTAATATGAGGACTTTTCAGTAACCTTTATAAACTTGTTATCTTTAAATTTAAGATAGTATTTTCGAAAAATGAAATGATTGATGAAAAACGAAATACCGCTAGATTGAACATGTTCATATAATATTATAATCATATTTATTGAAGGATTATTTAATTTTCGGAAATTCATAAACGGGTGTCATAACCATACCTATAAACTTCGTTTCCGTAACTCCCTTTTTTCTGAAAAATGGACAACAGAGGTTTTTTTTAATCACTTGTGTATAACCTTTGTCATCCCTATCCGAGTGATAAGTCTGTCTAGCCCTCCGGCCACAGCAGTGGGTTCAAACCTCAAAATGTACGTTGAATAGTGTAGTTTCACGTTGCCGTTTGTCTTTCTTATCAAAAAAAAGGTAAGCCCATCTCACACAGAACACACGGCTTACACGGTTGGCCACCCGTGTAAACCGTACATACAACCGAATCAACCGTAGTGTTATCCGAGTAACAGTCGGGCCATTCGAGTGTATCCGTGTAAGCCGTGTATGATTTTTAAAACTTTTAAAAAACTGACACGGATGTCATGTCCGTGAATGGTCGTATTAGCAACCGTACAAGACCGTAAGAGGCCGTGTGAGACCGTATGAGACCCGTACATACAACCGTATTTGAATTCCCCTACGAGTGAGTCCAACCGTGTCGAGATCGTATACAAATCGTATGGAATCGTTCGAGACCGTCCCAAAATCCTACATCCAACATTATTAAAACCCGAATATCACACGATCATGGTACGATTTACACGACTGCACACACGGTTTCATACGATCGCCATACGACCAATACGGTTCAAGTACGAATCATACACGGCAGACACGGTATAGTACGGGTATACACGGTAGCGCACGGCCTCGTACGATCTTACACGGCTTTTTCATTGAATATTAAATATTTAGGAAATAGTTTTATTACGCAGCTTCTACTTATTTCTGAGAGTTTTCTTTGAAATAACTGACTTTATTATTAAGGCACTGCTTTTAAAATTATCCCTTTGCAAAAATTAATGGTTCTCATAGTCCCTTGGTCTTGGTCCCTATTATATCATCTGTAATCCCTGAGGTAGTTTCGTTGTTACTTTCCAATGTTATGTTCTACGTTACGGCCAACAGGTACTCCTGCGTCCGCTAGTAGACCCTCCTCTAGCCACACTAGGGCATGGTTTGGTCCTCTTGGTCGGCATTAACTGTTACACCAGTGTATCGTATCGTAGGTTGTGCAACATGACGCAGGCAAGGAATAGGGACTTCACACTTTCTGTTTTCTTATAAACTGTTGCATGAAGCAGACATTGAAATCTATTGGCCAATATTCCGATGCATTATCCATCACTCTTCTGGCACGGGACAGTCTGTAATTAAATATGCGCTCATCGTGACCAAGGTCCATCCTTGAGTGGGGCTTCATCATCCAGGTCATCAATGGAAATACATTCTCACAGGAAGAAGAAGGACAGGTTTTCCTTCAGGCCTGTCAGCGGCCCTGGATTTGGGAAACCTAGTTCACCACCTTCCACCAACTGCCTCAATTCAGAGTCGTTGAACACTTAAAAATCGGATGCTGAACCATACTCCGCCACTGATGCCCATACGATCTTGTAGTCGGCATCTGCCAATGCCAGAATGATCATGGAGAAAAAGCCCTTGTAGTTGTGGTAGAGTGATCCAGATTTTGGTGGAGCCTTGATAGGAATATATCTGCCAACCAGGGCACCACAAGCATGGGGGGAATTCCACTTGATGTTGAACCTGTCACTGACTTCCCTCCATTTACCTGGCTCAATATGTGGTGGCTTAACTTCGGCTTTTAATGTGTCGACTATGGCCTCCAGGACGGTTGGTATGAATTTGGAGATTGTATTGTCTGCTACACGGAAACTGTACTGTCTGAATGTTACACTAGTGGTCATGTTTCTTAGTGTGATTGCAAGCATGAGTTCAGGCTCCAATGGCTCTCTGAACATAAATAATAGTAAACAAACATTTATCAGCGACATTTATTTTAAAACTCTCACATATATATTTATACGTACTTCTTCTATCGATCATTGAGATTAGTATTAATAATTCATGCTATTTATACTTTGCAATTTTTTCCCTGGAAAAAAGATATAATATTATTGTTAATGTCCAATTGGATGTCCTCTTAGATATCTTTGGCCCAACGCGTCTTACCAACTCCCCAAACAAGTCGGCATCAACACGGAGGAAGTTCTTGTAATACATAGGGTCCTCTCTGTTTAGTTCTTGTAGCAGAGTCTCATATTTACCAAGCATGGTCCTTCTGTTGAGCCATTTTCTTGTCCAAATTTGCCTCCTTCTTCTCTGTCTTATGTTGGTTTGATTTTGTCTCTCCTCACGTCTTCTGGCCAAAATAATCTCAATGTCTATTAGTCTAATCATTATTTCTAGTTCCTTTATTGTTGTTTGTTGCATCTGCTATTGTTTTTATTATTCGTTGAGAATTCGAAAATTTATGAAGCCAAGCCATAAAAATGGGTAAATTTATATCAAAACATACATGAATGTGTGATAATCCGAGCATAACTCGAATAAAAGTCGGCGGGATCCTATGTTAACCCTGTCAAAGTCGAGTGAATCGAGTAAAAGTCGTGATTAATCGTACCAGACCGTAGTTGGAACCGAACAACATTCGTATATATTCGAATGCAAATCGTCTTCAAACTTTGCTTGACCGAGTATATCCGTGCTTTATTCGTAAATACTCGTGCTATATTCGAGTCTAACTCGTACCAACTAATCCCCAGGTACGGTTGGAGTCCAATACTCGTACCAGTCAACCCGTGTTTAACCGAGTATACCGTGTTAGGACCGAGTGTCCAACCGTGTTTTGTGTGAGACGGGCTGATAGTCTACACTATAGTAGAAATAATTGTGTTTTTTTTTCATTTCAAATTAAACAATAAATAATTTCAGTCATATATGACCTTTAACGTTAGCTAAGATTTGTATATACATGTACCTAAAAGTCAACATTTTCTAACTCGTAATGTGGATTGAGGGCTAGTGTTTTACGTTACATTTTACCGACATGCTTTTCATACTATGTTAAACAAAACGGTTGATGTTCAAGTTCTCAGTCAATGTGATAAATATAAACAAACAGATATATATGAATATCACATCTGCCGAGTAGAAAACCACAATCATGTGACAAGCATTGTTTTCCGAACGTCAATTCCGGTTTCTGGTCAGGCGCCGGGCATAGGGCAGTGGCCATTTCACTTCTACCATTATAACCGCTTACACATCTAGTTTTAACATAGACAATATGCTTGATTTTGAAACAAACATTTATTTATTAAACTGCCCTTGCAAAAGTACGCTTCCTGTAACAAGCTAATACTCAGTATTCCATATCAGCAAGCATGGTGTTGTTCCGAGTTGGGCTCAAATCCACGATATCTGGGTAAAGATGAAGGTGGTGGAGGAGCTGACGTCAGATGGGTGTGGGGGAGAGATCTCAAATATGTGTGTGTGTGTGTGTGTGTGGGCGGGGGGAGATCTCAGATGTGTGTGTGTAGGGGAAGAGATCTCATATGTGTGTGTGTGGGGGGGGCGGGGGAGAGATCTCAGATATGTGTGAGGGCGGGGAGAGATCTCAGATTTCGGTGTGGGTGGGGCAAGAGATCACAGATGTGTGTGGGGAGAGATCTCAGATATGTGTGTGGGGAGAGAGATCTCAGATGTGTGTGTGTGTGCGGGGGAGAGATCTCAGATGTGTGTGTGGGGGGAGGGATCTCAGATGTGTGTGTGTGGGGGGGGAATCCAGATGTGTGTGCGGGGGGGGGGGGGGGGTAGAGAGATCTCAGATTTGTGTGGGGGAGATATCTCAGATGTGTGTGTGTGGGGGGGGGGGGAGATCTCAGATGTGTGTGCGGGGGGAGAGAGATCTCAGATGTGTTTGTGGGCTGAGTGAGATCTCAGATGTGTGTGTGGGGGAGAGATTGTGTGTGTGAGGGAGATCTCAGATGTGTGTGTGTGGTGGAGAGATCTCAGATGTGTGTGGGGGGAGAGATCTCATATGTGTGTGTGGGGGAGATCTCAGATTGTGTTAGGGGGGAGAGATCTCAGATGTGTGTGTGGGGGGACTCTCAGATGCCTTCTTTGTATAATGTCAGTGTTGGGGGAGAGATCTCAGATGTATGTGTGGGTGGGGGAAGAGATCTCAGTTGTGTGGGGGGGAAGATATCTCAGATATGTGTGTGTGTATGTGGGTGAGATCTCAGATGTATGTGGGGGAGAGATCTCAGATGAGTGTGTGGGGGGAGAGAGATCTCAGATGTATCTGTGTGTGTGTGGGCGGAGTGAGATCTCAGATGTGTGTGGGGGGGAGAGATTGTGTGTGGGTGGGAGATATCAGATGTGTGTGTGTGGTGGAGAGATCTCAGATGTGTGTGGGGAGGGGAGAGAGGTCTCAGATGTGTGTGTGGGGGAGAGATCTCAGATGTGTGTGTGTGGGGGGGGGATCTCAGATTGTGTGGGGGGGGGAGAGATCTCAGATGTATGTGTGTGACGGGGGGGGGGGGCTCTCAGATGCCTTCTATGTATAATTTCAGACATAAGCGGACACTTGAAGTACATGTATCCTCTACTGACTTTCCGTAATCTAGCTGGATGTCTTTTAAAGATGATAGAATCAAAAGCCCGTACCGGGATTCTTACTTACGGTGGTGAAAGGCAAATGCTTTGATGTACACACTCCATAACGTACGCATCGAATAGAGAAAAAAATATACGGTTGCTATAATAATGCCGGAAACAGTACATTAACCGTTGTAGGGATTTTTGATTACTCTAACTACAGGGTTTGTTTTGCAGTTTTTATTTTTCCTTCAATTTCTATCTGCTCTATAAGGTCTTACCTTTATTTGTTTAACAAGGTATTTAGGGTTATCATATTTATCTGATATAGACTGTGAAACCAGTTTTTATCTCTTTTTTATCTCCTAATTATCACTTTTGAGTACACTTCATTTTAGAGAAGCAGACAAATACACACATTTACATGTATAACAGCAAAAATGTTTAATACGCGTATATACCATTTAAAAGCACATTATGCCTCACAGATGAATATCTTTCTTTATCTTTATAAATGTCAAATATGTGTTCAAAATTTTTTGATGCATATAAGATGTTAAATTATTTACTAAAGTAGCGCTTAACGTACAATAATTAATGTGTATTTAACAAGGAAGGTAACAACACGTAGGTTTTAAAGTATCGTAATAATGAGTTATCTATCTTACTTAACGGGTTATCAAAGCTTAAATGGTCAATGACTAGGTAACAATAAAACATGATATTTTGCCATAATTGTGTTCAGTTTAATACTTTAAAAAATAATTAATCGATAATCAACGTGGCCAACGAAAATTTCTTTAATTAAAATATCGAGTGAAATGTATTGTTAACGTTAACTTATAATTAAAAAGAGGTGAGGCAGTCTCTTTAAAATTTAACTTTTATATTGTATCAAAAAAATTCTTTAAATTATTAATTTTGGATCAAACACCATGATAATAATTGCCAATCTGTAAAATATATTTACTAATTCTATTTAACATGACAGCGGAAAAATCGGTAAAATGTCACTTTAATATTGGCGCTATCGCGACATCTACATTCGCAAAATTTAAAGAGACGACCGTATATTTATTCATATACTGTACACAGTATTGGACTCAATTTAGATTTATGCGGGAAACATAAACTGTCGTACTGTAACTATCGGACTGTCAATATCGCACCGGCGCTTTGTCACCATACTGTCACAGTGTCACCATCGTACTGTCACCTTTGAACTGGCGCATCTTGCCGTCGTGCTGCTGTAGTGATAGAATTGTACTGTCGTATTTTGCGCTTTTTGTTCTCAGAGAAATTGCAATGGCCCAAACGGGACACCATATATTCAGGAATCGGTAGCGCAGACTATTTACCAGTGTTGGCAACTCGGTATGAAAAGTAGTATATGCGGAATATGTAACGTGAGTTCCAACGGGCGGATTCTCCAATTGCTTTGCGCAGAGACGGTCATCCACGTAATAAGTGCATGAATATTAATTCGGGTTTTATTAAAGTATACAAAATCTGTAAACAGTTTACGTGTTTTATCAATATTTAACCTTTCAAAATCAATCTCTCAAACTGAAGATAACTTGAATTTGTACATAGAAGGCAAGCGTTTGTTGATAATGACCCATTGAAATAGATAAAAGGCAACCATACTTTGCTTACATTTGCTGTGGCAATATTAAAATTTTCTTTCTCAATGCTTGTACAAGTAGCTGATATGAAAATGAAAATCCATATCCATTCATTATTTTATTTTCAGAAAACAGAATAAATATTTAAAGGCACAGTCAGCCTGAGAAATTAATTATGTTCTTGTTTTTTTTGTGTGCCTTTCTCTTTTTCTCTGTAGGACGACTAGTGAATTCATGTGTTTATTTATACATTGAATAATGTTTAATTACTAACTTAGAACATATAATATGTTTATCTCCGGAAGAGAGTAGCGCTTTATATGAAATAATTGCTCATTAACAAAGCAAAATGTAAACGAAGTGTTATTTCAATTTCCATATAAAATACCTCATCATTTAAATTGTACTACTTGCCAAAGAAGCCAAAAAAAGGTTCTACTATATGGACGATGAGAAAACACTCGGAAACTTAATAGGACACTAAAAGCTAAAATAAACCTTTTAAAATTTTAAAATTATTTTTTGGGGGGCTTAATGCACCTGAAAAAAATATAAATGATAAAATATTTTTTATAAAATTATGCAAATCAACACTGTCCAATTTCGTGAAAAAAGCTCCTGTTCATGTAACTTTTTAATTCGGATAGTTCGACTTTGGTGGTACGCCCGTGTCGTACGGCGGTGGTGCCGGGTTGAAGCCACCTGGTGGGTACACAGCTTGGTTTTGTACCGAGGAGGACGGATATTGTGGTTGACCCTGGTGCTGACCGGATACCATGATAACAGCTGAAAAAAAAATTGTTATCTCTATTAAACCTTATTATAAAATACTTCCATACGATTTTATCATTTAAATGAATTCAATCCTAATTTAAGGCACATTGCACCATAAAAAAGAATTATTGTTTTCCTCTTTAGAAAGGGCATTTAACTGTTTCGCAACATGGTAATAGTTTAGTAAGAGCATATTAGGTACACTTTTCTGTGAAATTATTTTGCATTAAAGAAGCAAAATATAAAATAGGTAGTATTCTACCCATACAAAATAATAAATCACTATAACAATACTAATTGCAAAAACGCAACAGAGGCAAAATACGGTTTATACATTAATAGGCCGTTAGAAACATAAATATATACGTGCATATTTGATGCTATTTTTATACTTCTTCGTAAAGTATTTCAATCAATATAAGGCTTTTCAAAATGTGTTCAAGGTGCTCAAAAATACTTCCAAAAATGATTATTTGCTGATAATGATTAATTGCAATTATATTAATCAATCAAAATATAAAATTATTGCCAACGTACCATATTCTGATGAATTTTTGCTAACATTGATTAATAATAAAATTGCTCTATCGCCATATTCATATCTTTCAATCTTACCTGATTTGAATGCGTGTTGCTTTAGTTATTTCTTCAAATGATTTTTGCTCCAATTTTGAAATACTTATACTTATTAATTTCTATATTGATAAAATGCCAGCTTATTGTTGCTTTTGTTACTTCTTTGGAAGAGTAATTGATTATACTGATTAATTAATTGCTCGACAAGCTTTAAATGATACAGATGATAAATCGCGTATTAAATTAATAAATTGCTATAATAATATTGATCCATTGACAGATTACCTGGAGCCTGAGGCTGTTGAATCATCATACCAGTTCTGTTGTTGTTGTTTGAACACAATTTAAAGCATCCAAAACAACAAAGAGTTATGGCCGCAATACAACCGATTGATATTAGCACTGGCACCCACCTAAAACAATAAATTTGTGCATAATTAATTATGAATTAAAAATTTTCTTCATTCATCATCATCATCATCATCATCATCATCATCATCATCAACAACAACAACAACAACAACAACAGTAGCAGCAGCAGCAAAAGAGTCTCTCTATCAAGCTTTTTTTACATATTTTTGAGGAGAGTTTTGATTGTCTACAGATTTTAAAGAACGTATCTAAAGATGGTTTGAACATAAAACGGTTGGCATTTAAAACGTGTATCTGAACGTGACGAATTTTGTAAAGAGTACAGCTGGCACGATTGTCATTCAAATAACACTTTGATAAACTTATAATAATAAACAAATGCTAATCAAATAACCCAAATGTCTAAGATGAAGTAGAATATCAATCCTGTAATCAAGTCATCTGTTGCCACACCACAATTGGTGCGAGTCCCCTCTGATATTTCTGAACGATTTTAATATGAATAAGATACATCTTGTTGCTTGCTCACATGAAGTAGATGGTGCTAGTGAGAGGGTTACATAGTTGTAGTTGAACCCGGCATCTCTTTATACGTGCAATACGTGTAATGTATGATTTGCAACCAGCGTCTTCATCCACCCGAGTCTCCTGACATCAATCCGGGTTTCCATCCAACACAAGCGTGTAACCAATAATTGGAAATTAGTTATATGATTCACAGGTGTGCCAGAATTTGTTAACAAGAATATCTTTAGACTGAAATTTACATTTTGATATAAGGAAGGTAATTATAAACTTACGCATGTTGTGACCACCAGGCACTGCACGAACTGGTTCGTCTGTAAGAGTCTGTCCGACGAAAACTACTACTGCAGCATTCTAGATCTGGTGTCGTTGGAGTATATAGTATGTACGTTTTATCACAACAATAATCCGGACACCACTCTTCATCTTGTCGAACTCTTAATAAAATTAAATGCATTAGCTGTTTGACAAAAAACAGGCGTAAAAATCAGTCTTTGAATATTATATCGTTGATATAAGTATTGTATATCTATAATATCAGAATTTGTACTAGAGGGTTGTGTTATATAAGCGTGAATACAGAATCTAACATAAGTTGTCGTTTCATATAAACGTATGTCAAGTGTGTCTGAAAGAAGTGTTAAAAAGTGAGCATTCGGCGAGCTTTTGGAAATAATAGACCGGCGTGTTTTCACGTATTTTTTATCCGTTAATGCATATTCATTTCTTCGTTACCACCGTGCATATCCAGTAACGCAGGAATGTGCAAATAACGTTAAGTAACGCCTTATCTGTGCAAAGGTATTACCTAAACGAATAACACAGTAAGTAATCGAACCAAAATATTTTAGTCTAAATAAAATTCAAAGAAATGAATTAGAGCATGCGACTGATAAGATATAAGACTTAAATCGGCATTACATTTTTTTTCACTAAAATGTTTACTTTTTCAGATCATTCGTGAGAAGGACAACCTGATTACCATTTTGAGGGTGATTTTTGTTTTTCTTCAAATTAATATGTACACTTAACACATTTAAAACTTTAGTTTTTCATATTCTGTATACCTAAGACATTTGTCAAACTATTAAAAGAAGGAAGCTGGTAAAATTACAATAAGCTACTTTTTATGAGATAACCGCTGTTGCTTCGGTGCTTCATTCGCGAATTCGGCGTAACCTCGAAAAAATAGTCTCAATTACTTTTTATCTCCTTAACAAAGTGTAATATGACACAAGTAGATGGGAAAATGTGTCACATACACCGAACATAAAAAATCATAAAGTAATACGTACGTTATTGCAGTTACAGATATCAACAAAACTAAAAATCGCCGCAAATTGCTAGTCAGGTCTTGTAAAATGATCTTGAAAAATAAACATTTTCATGGAACTATTTTTGATGAGGTTGAAAGTATAATGACTCAGCAACCGCATGTTCTAATTCATTTCTTCCATTTTGGTGTACAATAAAAATTCTTGTTTATTAAGATATTGCGGTGGTCGTTTTAGCAACTATATTGAACAATTATCTGTGTTACTTTTGCACACTTCTGCGTTACTGGATATACACTGTGGTTATGAAGTTTTGATGCAGACTGTACTCAAAAATATCATATAAGATTATTATCATTACATCTAGTACTAGGTAAGGAAAAAAATAATTAACGATCAAAGATAACAACATACCCATAGTTGTCAGTGTAAGCCTTGCAACATTCACTAGCATATACTGTATTATCTGTTGAAAGATTTTATTTATTATATGACTGACAGTTTAAGGGGTCTCTGTGACTGAGTAGGCATGGTCACTGACCTTAAGTCACTATCAACTTATAACTTCTCATCTGGTCTAATGTAGGAAGACACGTTCAAGCATAATTTCAGACACAAGTTTGATCTTGAGAAGAACCATGTTGGACTAACGACATATCCTAAGTTTGTAGGACAGCAGCTGCTATCCCTTACATACAATTCAGACCTCAACCCCATAAGTGATAAAAAGTCAGCTACCGTTACTACTCTGCCATGGTGACCTTAATTACATTTTATTATTTTCAAAATAATAGCGTGTACACGTCTGTCATATATCAAATCAGTAAAACAGTTGTGAAAATAATAAGCTTTAATTAAAGTATACAAAATTTTAAACTATAAAAATAAATACATTACACATATAATATAATTTAATTTAATTTATTAATGTCATTAAATTATATTTACCTAAGCAAAATATCGAAAATATCAGAAAAAGAAATGCAATGGCTGCCATCTTGAGAACTTCCTTGTTTTCTATGCAAAACGTTTCATTGATTCAATACTGATAAAACTAATCCGAGGTATTTACCAAAACGTTACAGCATTTTTATCTAACGAAACATTGATAAATGGGGGACAAAAACAATCTTGAATTCTTTGATATCTCGAAACATTCAAGTAGATCCATGTAGTTTATTGCAAGGCGACGTATATTAAAACGAATCGAGCACATCGAGGAGTTTAACTTGACAGTTATCTCAGTTATAAAGTCCCAAAACTTTCCTATCAGTACCCCCCCCCCCCTCTCACCGCAAATCCCCTAAAGACATATTAATGTTCGAAAATCAATTCTACGTACGTCACGAGCGGAAAGAAGACTTTATTTGTTTTAGATTTTTGTCCATGTACATTCAGAATCTATTAAATTTCGGAGGATTTATTGTCAAAACCTTTCTAATAATTGTTTTACTAGCCGGAAAGTTGTAAAATTAAATTACAACGATTTATGCTTAGAGATCGTGTATACAAGTTTATTCTTAAATGATATGTCATCACGTTAATATGAGTGGCAATGATCAAATGGCGTACAATAACGTTAATTACAACGGTTTTTGTGCTTAGAAACATACAGTCGCATTAAATGCAACGATGATTTATGTTTGGGTGACGTATAATCAAGTATATTACAAGGATCATTGCCTAAAGGTTTAAAAGCCTAAAGCATAAACTTTGAATGTCTTACATAAATGAGCTGGGACACTTTAAACAGAAATGTATGCAAAGATAGTTAAGAAATATACTTAAGAAATAAAGAAAATAACTTAAGAAATAAATTGTTAATCGTATTGTTATGCTTTTCTTAGCCCGATTTGAGTGAAAAGCGTTCAAACGCTTTTCATTTGGGGTCATTTATTTACAGTTTGAACAAGTTTTCTGGGAAAAAAAGAAGTGCGCGGATGATCTGAAATTTCGTGCAAAGAATAGTGGTCTAAACTTTCATCAAATGATACATTTATCTGAAAGAATTTTTTCAGTCCCATTATGTCAAAAAACCTGAGGTGAGTCCCTTTAAATGTCGTATAATTGCATTAATTCCAATGATTTATGCTTAATTAAATGACGTATCTTCACGTTAATTTCAATGATTTATGCTTAAATGACGTATAATTACGTTAATTACAATGATTTATGCTTAAATAACGTACAGTCAAATTTATTGCAATGATTTATCCGCATCTTTAAGCATAATTATGCTGAGGGCAATTAAAAATTGAAATTTTGTATTATTGCGACAAAACTCTAAAAAAGGGGGGCCCCTCGAACTCAATATAAAAATCCAGACCCATTTTCACGAAGTGGTCCAACTTTTACGAACTTCTTGATGATGCTTTTATCAAAAATATTAAAATAAATGCCAATGTATAAGGGGAGGTAAAACATGCAATCTTAAAATATTTCAAAATTGAATTACCTCCCTTGGGGATTTATTTTCTTCAAAATACGAAAAAATGTCACATGAGTAAAGCCAGAGCTGGAAAAAAAATTATTAATGGCAGATTTGAAAAAAATGAAGAATCTGTCTTTAGTTATTTAATTTTGGTTTCGCCGTTACCAGCCGTTGCTATCATCACTCAAATTTTGAAGATTTTATTACAGAGGGATAAGCAGCTCTAAAGATGGACCTTTTTCCTGTCCAGACCCACAATCCTTTGCTCGAGATTTAATGGCTTTTGATGATGATCGATTTCCGCCATCTTTTTAATGGAGATTTTACCGTACCGAATGTGGTTACAATAATTTTCCCATACACTGCAGATAATAATTATCATAATTATTCCTAATCTTTATTCTTTTTTCATATTTTCACAAGTTATTAGTTCGTCATTTTTTTTTTGATTCTCGTAGCGAAAACAAGAATACATGGCGACAAATTTTCTCAGAAAGATGAACTTTACCTGAAAACATATCGTGCAATATGTATTTAATTTAATTTTCCAAAATTTGATAATTTTACAAAAAAATGGAAATCTTATTCTATTAGTTAATTAGAATAAAGATCCGTTCCTGCATGAAAGACATTTTACAATGTCACCAAACCTTCTTGCAACAGGCTCAAGAAAAAAGATGTGGGATAAAAAATAAAAAAGACGAAAATGGACTGTTTCAAGCATAAAAACCGGCTTATTCCACAGACTGTAGTCGTCGATTTTTTCATAGGTTGTCTCGTTTTTCGTTTGAACGGGGTGTCTTTTCTATGCATGGATCACTGCTTAGTGTTCTTTTCTGTCTTTCTCTTTTGGATATTCACCACCAATGTGCTTTAATTCACCGTATTTTGAAATGTTTCATTCTTTGTTATCGCAAACATTCCCCTCGTTAAATATATCATATCGTCATTTATTTGATAAAGCAATAGAGTGACTGTCCCATTCACCGATATTCATATAAATTGTCACATTTTTATATGCTGTTATTTGGTTTCATGTCGCACCAATACAGTATAGGTCATATGGCGACGTTCCAGCTTTACTAGGGAAGGAAAACCTCAGGAGCCCTTCCGTGCATTATTTCGGGCACGAACGGAACCCTGAGTAGAGCCACCGGCGTTCCTTAAGCTAGTTGGATAGCTTCCTTAATTAAAAGAATCCAAAGTCCTTGTCGAGATTCGTACCCACAGGAGTGAAGGGCAAGTCCTTTGAAGTAAATGTCATTAACCACTCGGCCACGGACGCCCCCATTTTAATTGTCACAATAGAATATAAATTGCTTAGCATCGTCCTAAAATGAATAGTTCATTAAAAATTAATTGTTAAAGTGTCGGCGGGTACATAATTATGTTAATGTTATATTATACAAAACTGTGTCTTGTTCATGAAAGTAAATGATTTAACCAAAGAGTCGTTGGTCAGAGCCCTACTTGGTCTATGACGACGTTCAATCTTTTAAATGAGACGAAGAGCTATACATTTCTCTTACATTTAACAACATCTAAGGACTGATTCGTTTACAAGTAAACCCCTACCCCCATCACCGCTGCTCTTGAGCGTAGAATAATTATAGTATTTTACTTCCCGCTATCATCACATTCAATGGTTTATGCAGTGGTTATAATTTTGCATGATTAACGCGTTGTATGGGGTATTTGCCGGCTTATTAAAAAACAAACTTTTATGGCTTTCCTGTCTTCGTGTTTTCGCCCCTCTAAAGTCGAAGGCAAACGCACTTCGCCATCGACTTTAGAGAGGCGGAGACACGAAATGGCACAAATAGGCCACCATAAATTTCAGTTGATAATTGAAAGCCACTTTCATTGTAATTTGTTATATTTATATGCATTTCCCCCATAACAAAATGATTGGTTGAGCAGTCCATTACAAATTAATTACTTTATCTGTACACTGTACAATGTATCTGTAATTACTTTATTTATACAAAATGTTTAAATTATCCCAAGCATCGGTCTGTAAAGAAGCACCGGTTATGTGGTTAATGTCTCCCTATCACGAGTTCGATTTGAAATACGGTTACAACCTTTGTTGTTCTAGCATTCCAGCACTGTTAAGGCTCGATAGGCACTCGAGTGTGGTTCAAGAGATCTTTAATAATCGACCTAAAATAAATACATGTAAGTGAAAAGTGACATCGGTGAAAATTTTATTTACTTCCGTTTTCGACAGATAAACAGTAATTCGAGTATTGCGTGCGCAAAACTTGTATAAACATTCATAAATACGTGAGTTTTACCCTGTAATTGTATTTGTTATTGTATTTATTTTACTGATTAAATTTCCGATCCTTGTATGTAGCGTTTATTAGACGCTGATTTTAACCGCCTACATGGTCGAGGGGTTAGAGTCGATGACTTCTCTCTGGCGTGGGTTCGATCCCCGGGAGATGCTTTGGTAGTTTAGCACGGAGGAAGGTAGTCTAGTACTGGTGTAACTCTCCAGGAACGATTATAAGGAAACTACCCGCCTATATGACTGAAATACTGTTGGGAAAAGGCGTAAAATGAAACAAACAAACAAATAATCAGACAAACAATTCAGATAAGGAAGTTCATTTAGAAGTCGTTTGAATACTAGGACTTGGACTGTTCAGTAGACCTTTTTATTTTGCATGTCTATTACGAACTTACAATTCCGAATAAAGAAGTTTCTTTCTTAGTTTAATAATATTTTATGTAAATATACACACAATATACAATTTCATAAACATAATCATGTGTGCATACAAAAGGGTTGCGCAAAAGGTTCTAACAACATTATCGTGGGCCCTTTTCCTGAGGTTAGTAAAAATAAGGTTATACTATTTGAATGAAGTTGTGTGATATCAAATTCTTATGAAATTTAGTTTTAAGTAATTTTTCAGGAACTAATTTTAACAAATGTCTTACGTGTAAATAAGAAAATATATATCGAATGAGAAATTGAAAGAAAAAAAATATAGAAATAGAAAATATAGATAAACATTATAATATAATAATGATACTAAGAATGACTAAATTTAGTTATTTAAATGTATAAAGTATACAGTTATAAGTCAATCGTGTTTCACTTAAAGATCTTGTAACACATTATTTTTATGGTTTTATATACAAATTATGCTGCTCAAATTACGATTTATCGATATTGTAAGTTCCAAAAATCATTTTTTATAAAGATATTACCGAATTTAATATTTCATGTAAATAAAGGGAGGTAATTAGAATTTAGTTTTCTATTACTTCTAAGTCAATTTTTCCAATAAGAAATGAATGCATATAATTTAATGATTACCTTAAATATGTACAAATATTTGCAATACATATTTTACATATTCCTCGATTTTTGAAAATTGGCAAATTTCCATAATTACATTCATATATAACTTAATGAAGAGTGGTATGCAATCTAAATTACAAAACATACAGGATCTTTAAAGTTACTTTTGGCTTTTGAATTTAGAGTTATAACGATCAAATTTTGAGAAAAAAGAATAAATGATAAAAATAATAGATTGAAATAAAAGAATTATTGTAAAAGTTACAAAAAACTGCCAAATAAATGAATAAATAAATAAATACGAAGATGTTTAAAAGTCAAGACAACTTTGATGATCTATACCGATTATCTGTGACTTAATGATAAAAAATTCCCCATAATTATTGACAATATTGACCTGAGACTAATAAATTTTCGATAGGTTTTTGGT